AGTCTCCAGAGAGACACCATTGCTCTTCAGTACTTTGGAGAGGTCCCTAACAGCAGACTTTCCCATGGCAATGCGCCTTTTAATTTCCATTGACATACTAGGCATTAGTAAAATGAGACGGACTAGCTTTGGCCACTTTGAATGGAATACAGAAGAAGAATAGTGTTGTGTTCATAATCAAAAAGTCAATTTCAAGTGCTATCTGCCGTGGCTCATAATAAATTGTGGCTAAACTTGAGGAAAATGGGAATCTCAGAACACCTGATCGTGCTTATGAAAAACCTATACTTGGACCAAAAAACAGTTCTAGGAACAGAGCAAGGAAACACTGCATGGTTCAAAATCAGGAAAGGCGTGCATATGAAAGATGCATCCTGTCATTATATCTTCTCAATCTGTATGCAGAATAGATCATTCGGGAAGCAGGCCTTTATGAGGAGGCATGTGACATCAAGACTGGAGGAAGATTTTTTAAAACTGTTAACTCTTCTCAATGTTAAGATTTTGAAATATAAATGTATTTTCCTCCTCAATTTTTCAAATACTCATATTACAAATTACTCCTATAAAAGTGTGATACAAATTAAACCTTTCCACTTTCTCGAAATACTGAATAGCATGTATGTAAAATGGAAAGTAAAATTTAAAAAAGAAAACCCTCTCAGTACACTATTGTCATAAACATAAAACTTAACCTTAGGTTAGGTTAGGTTAGGTTAGCATTGTTACAACCTAGCCTGACACACCACCTACTACTTCCTTACATAAATCCAAAGCACCCAGCCATGAGAGTTGGTCCATCCTTCATGTTTAGTTCTGACCTAAATTCCTATCTCCCCTCTCTCCACAGATGTAAATGCTTTCAATACCCTTACCTTGGCCTTTAGCCATGAAAAGTGTTCTCTCTAGTGGCTGCTCATCCAGGAATTCTCTTTCCGTTTTTGTTTGGGTTTTTTTAATTTCTATTTTGTCTCATATGATCATTCCCATATATTGTGTCTTATAAAATTAACAACCATTAATCTCTGCCCACTGCTACTCCATCTTTTCAGATCTTGTTTGGGTTCTTTAACCCAAATAAGTTCCTTGGCTTCTCTGAGTTGTTCCTTTCCCTTCCTTACTCCCCCAAATACTCCAATTTCTTGACAACTAGGTTAACATATACAATCCCTATTATTTTAACTCATCTCTGTATATATTCCTTATGTCACCTGTAAGTTGGCTCACTGCGGACAGGAATATGTTATGCTATTTTAATAATAATTAAAGAATACTATTCTAAAAATTGCCACTGACTATAATTCCATTTGTTAAGATGTTATCCCAGTACAATACAAATTTACCACATCAATACACATGTATCATACATAAAATAGATACTTTTCTTTACCCCAAGATTCCAACTATTAAGGCGAGCTTCAATGTCATTGTCATCCAAAGAAATAGAAGATTTTTTCAAATGAACTTCCTGAAATACAAAAGCAAGGGGGGAAAAATAAAAGAAAAGGGCAGAAGGAAGCACACAAGGGGGCAGGATGGTGGGGAGGAAGCAGGAAAAGGAAAAAGTGGGGGGGGGGAGAAAAGAAATGAAGATAAAAAATACTTCCACAGAATAATTAGAGTTTTGCTTGTTTTTTCTGGTAATACTCTCTTGCGTTCAGGAGCCCTTGTGGTGCAGTGGTCAAGCATCCACTTGCTAATTAAAGGGCGTGGACCACCAGCAGCTCCACGGCTCAAAGATGTGCGAATCTGTGCGAATCTGCTTCCGTAAACCCAAGGGGCCAGTTTCTCTCCATCCCACAGGGTGACTGGGAGTTGGAATTGACTCCGTGACAATAGGTTTGCTCTCTGTTTGTCTCTAACCCTGAGTGGAAAGGATAATGTCACAGCTGAGCTAGAGCGTCCGATGCTGAGGAACGACTGTGCAGGACAGTTGGTAGGGTTAGGAAATGACTTCACAATATATTCACACAGCAACTAATATTAAAAAAAAAATCAAAAGAATATTTTAAAAATTAATGCAGACTTTTCTCTTTAAGTTCTTTTATAAAAAGTTTAATTGTGGTATACCACAGTAGCTTTAAAAGGCGAGGAGGGGCGAGAAAGAGGAACACTTGAAAAGATGAATTCTTTACCCTCCTAACAATGCGTTAACAGAAAAGTTCTGTGTTGATGTCCAAAAAACTCTTTGTTCTTAAGTTAATTGTCATTCATACACTGAATATTAAGAGAAATAAGCCTTGGCTTCACATCATGAAAGCACAATTAGGGTGATTCTTTATTTTTTAAAAAAATAAAAATGTCATGCTTTTTTTTTCCTCCTGAATAATGTATTATGGTAAACATTTATCAAAACAGACTGAAAGTGTAATTAACTGAGGACAGCCAAAGATCCAGGCCCAGAAATGGACAAGGACTGGAAAGGCCTAAAAACTAAATAGTATCTTAAGCTTTAGCTTAAGCTAATATTCTTTAGGTTAATATTCTTAGGTTGAAATTCAGTTTGTTGCCTCAGTTAACTCATGTCTCTGGAAAACTCGCTCTCTCCCAAACAGCCCTACTTACCGATGCCGAGGCATGTAAAGTATCTGGCATCGGGCAGTGTTTGTTCTGTGTACACATGGCTACTACTAAGTCAGGACCGACTCAAAGCACCTGACAGCCGCTAGGCGATGAGGATGCACTAGTATGTTATGCATATTTTATTGAGTTTCCAAATTTCCATTTACCAAAATACTGTCTTTCATTCTCTTTAAGTTGTTGTTGTTAGGTGCTGTTGAGTCATAGACAGCTCATAGTGACCCTGTGAACGAAAGGCCTGAGCACTGTTCATAGTGTCCTGGATGCAAGCCATTTCGGAAGTGGATGCCACTCCTGCTTCCGAGCTTGTTTCAATCGGGGAGCTCCAGCAAACAAACACTGTCCACCATGGGTAACCATTATTGCATTTGGCACATCAGTGTCACAGTGTTTAGCATCACAGCGACCACGAGTTACCTCTGTACAGGAATGCCCAGACCATGCTCTAACACCTAGAAGAATGTTTGACAAAAAAAAATCTGAACCAGGCCTGAGGGCCACAGATTAAAATCGCCCTCCTTGAGCTTGGCAGCATAACTTTCTGTGCACTAGGCTGACGTAGCTCTATGTTGTTGTTATTGTATATATATATCATGTTAAAAATCATTATTGCTTTTCTGGAGGCCTCCTACTTTTAATTGTCATTTGTGAACAAGAACTTCTCAAGTAAGAAGATGGACTTGCTTTGTTTTCTTTTTTAGTAAATATAATGACTTATAATAAACCAACAACTATTTTAAAAGTGTTACTCTAAATCTTTTTCCACATGTTAAATCATCAATAGGGGAAAAGTGATGAATTATGTTATGATGAACATACTGTTAAGACATCAAAGTGTTACAGCATCTCAATTATCTCTTTTTGTAACCAAAAGTCCTATGTAAACCAAGACAAGCCAGAGTTAGGCTACATAAACTATGATAAATAAAGTTCTCTTTACAAAACTAACTAGAATGCTCATTAGGACCTTGTTCAAACCAAATAGATCTTCAACAATTAGAGACAACTATGGGAAATGTTCCCAGCTAAAGGTATAAACCATTGACCTTCATCACAAAAGCAGTGTTCTCTACTCTAAAGAAACAAAACCTGTTGTCAGCAAGTCAATTCAATTCCAGCTCCTGGTGACCCTCGCCTGCATCAGAACAGAACTGTTCTGCTCCAGAAGTCTGTCAATGGCTTCATTTCAGGGAAGCAGGCCTTTCTTCCAGTGCCCTGGGTGAACTCAAACCTCTAACTTTTCATTTTCCAGCCAAGCATATTAACTGCACCACCCTGAAACTCCATTCTCTACTATAAATTAATTCCAATTTATTTCTAATCTTTTAATCATTAGCTGTCGTATTTATAAATGCATTGAATGAAAAAGGAAAACAAAGAATTAAAATACAAAGCTTTTCAAATTGCTTCTTCAGTGGACATGGACATGATAGACTGATTACTGTGAGGCCTCTGAGCGAGCGGAAGGATACTGCAGATCACGTGAAACAATACTCCCTCGGGCATTAGGCTGGTCACCAAAACCTTCAGATTTATTTATTCACTGGGTTCAAGTAATCATCGGAACTTGAGCAATATGAAATGAAAACATTGGGAATTTTTTTTTAAAAAACAGTCAATAAACAAGCAAATAAACAAACAAAAGGAAAAGCTGATCTTACAGAACTCTTTGGGGTAAAATTGTCTCCATCTTCTCCGGAGGCTGGGATCTGCCCAGTGTAATGCTCCCTACTGACAAACCAAAATATAACAATCAGCATTTTTATTTTAGTTCAGGGAACATAAGAATATTCAAATATAGGATTTCTATTTTCTTTTCTTTGGGGTTTCTACAATTGGACTGCTTTTATTAACAATGTGTATCAAAAATCCAAGCTCAGTGCCATCAAAGCAATCCTGTAGATCAGAGTAGAACTGCCCTACAGAGTTCCCGAGGCTAGAAATCGGGGAGGCATCCAAACGCCACACCTTTCTCTCTCAGGGCCGCTCGTAGGTTTGAACTGCTGATCTTTTTGGTGAGCAGTCCAATGTTTAACCACTACAGCGCCAAGGCTCGCTGATTTATCAACAGCAAAGGAAAGACAAATTTTCTAAAAAGGAAATCCACATAGTAAATTTGCACTTCTCACACATGAATTCATTTTTTTTAATTTTATTTTATTATTTTTGCGTGCATGTACCGTCAAATCAGATCTGACTGGTACAGGAGGAGATTGTCCCTCCTTCCCCGACAGAGCATCTGGTGGATTCGAACCGTGCGCCTCTGAGATTGTAGTTGCAGCTCATTGTCACTAGGCCACCAGAGCTCCCCTATGAATTCATTTTTATTAAACTACACATAAAATGCCAACTAAGCATCACATAGGCACATACTAGTTTACAAGCAAATGAGATTTTTAAGTGAGATTAGAACAATATCTTAATTTTTCCCCTTTCTTTCCTGAGAATAAGAAGCAAGAAAATGAAACACATGCTCTTCAAGAAGATAACTGCTTTTCAAAGGTTACAGGGTTTTATTGAATCCATATAGCATGGCAAGATAACCCCTTAAAGAAATAAAATAACTAAACCTTCACAGAGCTCAGAGTATTAATTACAACAGTGCCATGAAATTCACATGTAACAATCCTCAATTAAAAAGTTCATGTTGCTGCTAGTATTGTTGTTATATACTGGTAAGTCAACTTCAACTCACAGCGATCCTACCAACAATAGATCAGAACCCTGCCATCTCCCACACCATCCTCACGCCCTCTGACATGGTCCACTGCCCTTGTGAATTCACGTAATAGGTACTAAATAGGAAACTGGTATAAACTTCCAAATAAATCTGAACAATAAAAAAAGAGATAATTCAGTATTTTCAACATTTAAGTATTTTTACTTTTTTTCAATGGTACTTTCAATGTCATGGAGAAGAGTATTGAATGTACCATGGACTGCTAAGAAAAAAAACAGGTTCATCCTGGAAAGAGTTAAACCGGGCTGCTCCTTGGAGGCAAGGATTCTGATGCTTCGTATGACACACTTTGGACATGTTGCAAGGAGGGACCAGTCCTTATAGAGAGACATCATGCTTGGGAGGGTGGAGGGATAGCGCAGGAGGGGAAGACCCTCTATGAGGTGGATTGACTCAGTGACTGGGGTAATCAGGGTGAGTGTGTTGGAGACAGTGCGATTGGCACAGGACAGGGCGGGTTTAGGGCTGTTGTAGGGTCACTATGAGTTGCAAGCGACTCGACGGCACATAACAACAACAACAATACCATTTTCAGTACCATTTTCAAGCATCCTACTTTAGCTTGGAGTCACTCATGTATTTTACTCTATATTTTATGGTATCTATTTCAATAAAATATCTATGATTATGAAAAGTTAGACTCTAAAAAATATGAAAGGTTATACTCTGAAAAGTTGCATTACGATATATGAAACAGAATGCAAACATACATTAAAGTCATTAGCATTCAACCATAAGCCAAGTCAGAATTTCTTTTACAAACTATGAGCCACATTAAATATTACTGAAGGACAAAACACTATTTCAAAATACAAGGTCAAAGTAAGTGTGGGTTTTTTTAGTAGTAGCACTGGTAGGGTAATAATCTTAAGAAAAGTCATTATGTAATTTTGAGTGGCTGAAAAATCTGTTTTAGAAAGAGTATAGTATTTTATACTCTTTAGTATCCCCCTATGTCCAAATAGTTAAAATCAAATCAGAAAAAAACAGAAAGGTTTTATTTTGAGAATAATTTCATTATCCAATATGTCTGAGCTGATGTAACATTTAAAACTCAGTACTTCGGAGCACTCTGGAGATGTTCCCAGGAGGACTCAGTCCCAGGAGGACTCGGTCCCTGGAGAAGGAAATCATGCCTGGAAAAAAAGAGGGCCAGCCAAAAACGAAGACTGGCCACTAACTGGATGACCCAGTGACTCAGCCAGAGGGTCCCACACATAGCGAGGGTGAGGATGGCGCCGAACCCGAGGACGTTTCAGTGCCTTGTAAGAGGCTCCCTCTGAGTCACAACCAACCCGGCAGAACCTACCAACAACACAGCGCGGGAGGAGGCAGCCTGGTATACCAGCCGAAGAAGTGCTCTTCTTTAAGAAGAGATTAAACAATCATAAAAGAGCTGTATTTAAAAATTGAAAAACGCTTAAATATTAAAATAATTCTTCTCATAGAATTAATAAAAAAGAGGCCTGAAACATCTAACTATTACACAGAGTGCAGACATAACACTCTTAATTCACTATAGCTGTTCTGTAACAATCAATCTTTCTCTCAACAATACATTTCAAAAAAAGTTACTGGAAACTATATTTTTACTTCAACTCATTCTAAAACATGTACAGATAAGATCATCAGCAACAATATAGTGCTGGTTGCTCTCACTAAATCATGTGTCATGATGTCTTAAAGATGCTCGACCAATGGTCCCCCAGCAGCACTCTTCTCTGGCTCTCCTCCCATCCTTCTGAAATCTTCATGGTAATCTTTATTCATTCTTCTTTCTCTGATTACCCTATACGTTGTAATCCCAAGGTTTCATCTCTGCATTCATTCTCAATTCACTTGATCTTATTTATATACTAAATTTTTCTTTCAAATACAGAGAATTATTGACTACCAATTCTACATCTCCAGCCCCAAATGCTCTCTTAACTTCCACACCCACGACCAATGAGAACTGGCTAGCCCTACCTCCAACCCGAAGCAAAAATGCCACCTTGAGGACTAAAGAGTGCCTGACCAAACCACAGTGTTTTCAACAGCCTCATATGTGTAAGAAAGCAGGATAATGAACAAGGAGGACAGAAGAAGAATTCTCAGCTCACTCTCTTCAAGAGGGAACCAGCTCACAACTGACGCTCTGCTGGGTTTAAACTGTACAGGAGAAGACTGCCCATTTTTCCTCTTGTGGAGTCACTGGTGGATTCGAACAGCCAGAGAAGGGGATCACTTTTGGGTCGGCAGTGCAACTGCCAAGGGATGATGTCACCAGAGCTCCCCGTGAACTACGGCGTTGGCAAAGAATACTGAGTACGTCATGGACTCTGGAGAGTATCTCAGAGGGGATGCAGAGAGAATATTCCTAAGAGTGGCGATGGCAAGACTTCGTCTCACATTATCAGGAGGAACTGGTTCCTGGAAAAGGACATCAAGCTTGATAAAGGGACAGTAAAACAAAAAACAAAGATGAGCTTCAACAAGATGGGCTGACACAGTGGTGGCAGCAATGAATGGTGTCAAACCAAACATAGCAACCAACTCCCAGAATCAACTCAATGGCACATGACAGCAGCCTCCAACTCAAAAGATACAAAACTGGACTACATTGTCCTTAAGCGCGTTCCAGCGAAGGCCAAAGAAAGCAGACGTTTCTGAAGCCAGCTCCTCGTGAAGGGAGTTAAGCCAACTGAAGGAGGTCAGTATCACTGCTGAAACCTGGCTGGACAAAGAGACACAGGACGCTTGGCACAGGATGTCCACTTCTTGCCATGAGACTGGCTCCAGCTGGACCGCTGGCACTCTAACCAAGTACAAAAGCCCTCACATTCAGATGGGACTGGAGGTCAGGGTGAACCGTGCACACAGGGTGGGAGGCAAAGCTCAAGCCTCTTCTTTATGAAGGGTAACAGGTGCTGGCCGACGCACAGAACAGCAAGCTGTGGTGCTCAGAGAGCAAGCCTGCACGTAGTTAAGTGAGGCCTGATGACAGCGAACTCATGCTAATGATACCTGTGCCACAAGAAAAGGGAATCTGTGTCTCAATTAATTTTAAGGCGAAAATGAACACAAAGAAGTTGCAGTCCATTAGTAAAACCCTAAGGTTTGAATGCCTCTATTTCTCCTAAAGAGAAAAACTGGAGGAAATATGAATGTTTCTTCTTCTCTTTCTTCTAATGATTAAAATATTTCCAAAGACTCCAGATATATGCTCCCAGTATGTATCTGATTATAACCTGAAAACACTGACTTGTTCCTGTAAAGATGAACAGAGATAAGCAATGAGATCTAAAAAGAACCACTGAGTGGTCTCCTGCAAAAGAACCTAACTGCAAGAAAGGAAACATAAAAAGTGTGTCCAATCTGTTTTCTCAATGTGATTCAAATGGACATTTCATGTATGCAAAATGAATAAACTATTCTGACCACAAACTTTTCTTGTAAATGAAAAATACCCTTTTATCAGAACCACAGACAAAAGAAGAATCTAATAGGTTAAATAGTGCCAAAAACTCAAAATCAGTGAATTAAAATCCTATTAAATTCTCCAAAATACTCATAACAAGTTTAAGGAAAAACTATCATAGATTAAAACATAAGAGAAAAAATATGGATTCCATTTTCTAACACCGGAATAAAAGAAATACTAAAAGGGAGGGGGGGAAATGCCTAGAAACTGGAGGAACAATAATTAAAAAATTTCATGGTGATGCCAACTAAAACTGGGTCAGAGAAGAGTCTCAAGTATGAGCTTATGACACCATTCTCAGATTGATCAAAAATGCAATGTTATCAAAAGGATGGAAAGAGGTTCTACTTCTAGAACTAGAGACAGAAAGAAGTATAATTATTGAAATGTAAAAGGGAATAAAAGTTCCCACCTGGTCTTAAAAGCTTGTAAGCGGTCATCCAAGGTCCAACAATTGGCCTCCATTTGCCTGGAGCAACAGAGGAAAAAGAGTCAGAAACAGGAAGAAGAACTAGAATGCACAATTGTGCCCATGAACAACTCCTGCTTTACCACAGACCAGCAGAACTGGACAATGCTTGGCTACCAGCCTGGAAGCAGGAGTGGCATCCACTTCCGAAATGGCTTGCCTCCGGAAACTCTACGTACGAACAGTGCTCAGGCCATTCGTTCAAAGGGTCGCTATGAGACGTCTAGACTCGACGGCACTAAACAACAACAACAAACCATCCTGGGAGACTTAAAGTCAGCTGAATCCGGACTCGGGCTCCTTGAGACACAGCAGGTTTGACGGCTCAGAGCAATTTGGGTGTTCTTTGGGCCCCACGTGGCAGTCGGCAGAGCTTGGAAGGAGGAGTGGCATCCACTTTCATAATAGCTTGCCTCCGGAAACCTTATGAACCTGAAGAGAGGATGAGAGACACCCAAGTGTTGAGGGATCTCCTTCATAGGGTCGCTATGAGTCGCCTGCAACTCAATGGCACTTAACAACAACAACCATCACTGGATATTTTTACTGAAGATCAATCAGAATCAGAATCCTGATCAAAAGGAGGAAAACGCAGAACAGAATTTCAAATTTTCAGAGTCTAGACTTTATAGACCATAGAGGCTGATAAACCTATGAAACTATTTTCTTGATATCTTCTTTAAACCTTAAACAAACAAAAAAAATTTGAAGTCTTCTTAAAACCAAATAATGTGGTGGTGGTGGTGGTGTTATGTGCCATCAAGTTGTTTGTGACTCATAGCAACCCTATGTACAACAGCTCTAAACGCTATTCTAACCTGTGCCAATCTCACCGTCTCAAATGCACTTATTCCCACCGCTCCAGTCACAGAATCGTTCCATCTCATCAAAGGTCTTCCTCTCCTTTGCCAGTCTTCCACTCTGCCAAACATGATGTCCCTCTCCAAGGACCAGTCCCTCCTTGCGACATGCCCCAAGTATGTCAGACGAAGCTTCAGAATCCTTGACTCCTAGGAGCATTCTGCCTTCACCTTCTCCCGGACAAACCTGTTTGTTCTCCTAACAGTCCATGGTATATTCAACACTCTTCTCCAGCACCACAACTCAAAGGCATCAATTCTCTATCAACCCCATTCACTGTCCAACTATAGCCCGGATCAGGCACACCTTAGTCTCCAGCCTGACGTCGTTGCTCTTCAGTATTCTTGAGAGGTCCCTCACAGCCGACATTCCTAATGCAATTCGTCTCTTGATTTCCTGGCTGCTATTACCAAGAGTGTTGATTGTGGAGCCAAGCAAACTAAAACTGTTAACTATCTCAATCTCTTCACCATCCATGCTGATGCTCCCAATTGGCCCAGTGGTGAGAATCTTTGTTTTCTTGATGTTGAGCTTCAATCCATATAGGAGGCTGCAGTCCTTGACCTTCTGCAGCAAGCGCTTCAGGTCCTCCTCAGTTCCAGCAAGCAGGGTTGTGTCATCTGCATAACGCAGGTTGTTGATGACTCTTCCACCAATCCTGATGCCACATTCCTCTTCGTGCAGCCCAGTGTCCCGGGTGATCTATTTTGCATACAGACTGAAAAGGTACAGAGACAGAATACATCCCTGATGGACCCCCTTCTTGATTCTGAACCATGTAGTGTCTCCTTGCTCTGTTCTGACAACTGCCTCTTGGTCCAAGTATAGGTTTCACATTAGCACAATCAGCTTAACTGATAAACACTGTCTGCCTTAAGCATTAAGTACTACCTATATGGCATCAAAGGAGCACTGGTGGAATAAGGGTCAAAGAACTCAAGAACTAACACAAAGGTCCACAGTTCAAACCTATCAGCTGCTCTGCAGAATAAAAGCAGAGTCCACTTCCATAAAAAATTACAGTCTCAGATACCCTACAAACCATTCTACTCTGTCCTATAAATTTGCTATTAATCAGAATTGGCTTAATGACAATAAGTTTAATTTGGGAATATGGGATAAAACTGAAAACACACTAAAAGGTCAGATAAGAAATGTAGTGAATTTATACTATTAGAGGAAGAACAACTTGGAAAAGGCAGGTAACAAAAAAATATCAACTGAAGAACACAATCAGTGTCACTGTAGATATGGAGAAATTGCTGAAATAAAAATAATCATAATACCTTTATTAAAAATCAGAAGAAAAAGGTTCAATCGGAACCAACCCACAGCGGATCCTCTGGTGGGTTTTCAGAGGCAGTTAATCACATGGGAGAAGACTGCCCGTCTTTCTCCCACAGAGCTACTGGTGGATTTGAACCACGTGCCTTCAGGACTGCAGTGCTGCTTCTTACCACTTAAGTTATTGTTTGTGCTATGAAGTTGGATGTTACTTGTATACCTGAACCTCCAATGGGTTTTCAGGGACAGTAAACTGCACAGGAGAAGACTGTCCATCTTTCTTCCAAAGAAAAAATGGTGAATTTGAACAGCTTCCCTTTAGGATTGCAACACAGGTTTTCACCACTAGGCCACCACTGAGGTGTTGTTGTTGTTATGTACTGTCTAGTGACCTGCAACTCACAGCGACAACCGCCCTAAACCCTGTGTCGATCTTATTGTCTCTGACACACCTACCCCCATTACCCGAGTCACTGAATTACTCCATTTCATCAAGGATCTTCCTCTCTTGTGCTGTCCACCCTCCCAAGCATGACATCCCTCTCCAAGGACTGGTCACTCCTTTCAACATGTCCAAAGTAGGTCAAAGCTTCAGACTCCTTGCCTCCAAGGAGAAGCCTGGTTTTACCAGCTCCAGGACAAACCTGTTTATTCTCCTAGCAGTCCATGATCTACTCAATGCTCTCCTCCAGCACCACAGCTCAAAGGCCTCAATTTCCCCTCTATCATCTTTAGTCATTGTCCAGCTCTCTAACACATAGGAAATAATTGCAAAGACTATGGCCTGTATCAAGTGCTCCTTAGTCTCCAGACAGACATCGTTGTTCTTCAGTACTTTAGAGAGGTCCCTATCAGCTGACTTTTCCCAGTACAATTAATCTTTTAATTTTCTGGCTACTGGTGCCAAGAGTGTTGATTCTGGGGCCAAGCAAACTGTAGCTGTTAACAATCTCAATTTATTCACCATCTATCATGATGCTGCCAATCAGTCCAGTGGAGAGAATCTTTGTTTTCTTGATATTAAGCTTCAATCCATATAGAAGGCTGCAGTCCTGGACCTTCCACAACAAGTGCTTCAGGCCCTCCTCAGTTTCAGCAAACACGGCTGTGTCATCTGCATAATACAGCTTGTTGATAGGTCTTCCTTCAATCCTAATGCCACATTTCTCCTCATAGAGTCCAGCCTCCCAGATAATCTGTTCTTCATAAAGAATGAAAAGGTATGGAGATAGAACACATCTCTCGGGTAAACACTTCCTTATTTTGAACCACACAGTATTTCCTTGCTCTGTTCTGACAAGTGCCTCCTAGTGCAAGTAAAAGTTTTGCATAAGCATAATCAACTGTTCTGAGATTTCCATTCTTCTCAGAGTCAGCCACAGTTTGTTATGGTCCACACAGTCAAATACCTTTGCATAGTCAATGAAACACAGATAGACATTCCTCTGGTATCCCCTGCTTTCAGCTAAGATCCATCTAACATTAGCTACAATATCCCTAGTACCACGACCCCTTCTAAACCCAGCCTGGACTTCTGGCAGTTCTCTGCTGATGTGCTGTTCCAGTCATTTTTGGATAATCTTCAGCAGAATCTTGCTTGCATGTGATACTAATGATATTGTTCAATAATTTCCACACTCTGTCAGATCACCTTCTTTGGAATGGGAACAAATATAGATCTCCTCCAGTCAGTTGTCCAGGTAGTAGGAAAAGTACATCAATATTATCACTAGAAACTAAAGACTGGCACAGAATTCTCTAGCTCTTGAAAGCAAGCTGAAAAAGAGTGCTAGTTAACCATTTCTGAAATTTATAGCTTAAGAAAGAGCTTTGGTGGCCTAGTGTTAAGAAACTGCACTGCAATCCCAAAGGCTCATGGTTTGAACCCACCAGCTGCTCCACAGGAGAAGGATGAGTAATCTTCTCCCATGCAAGTTACTGTCCCTAAAAACCCACTGGAGGGTTGGCCATGAGTCACCTGTAACTCCCGAAGTTACACAACAGCCAAACTTAAAATAGCAAAGGCAAAAGATAGGATAGAGACATAGTCTCAAAAAGAGGACCTGAAAAACAATGTACATGAACTTTATGAACTTTGTATGTAAACTAGTATAAAATAAAATAAATATGACCTGAGAAAGTTTATGTTAGGTTGGTAACTGATTTCTCATGTTCTCATTATTCATCAGCAGCTTGAGGTAGTCTCCAAGGATGGGCCCCCAATGAACTACACCTCCAGTTTTCACGACCATGTACAATCTCCTCTGACAATGCATGTGGGCTAACCCAGGCCTTGTTTTCCTCAACAATGTGCAGTATAAATGGCACAAGGCCAGTCTCAGACCTAAGCCTTAGCATCAACTAGACGCTTCCTCTGCTTTTTGGTGGAAACCTGGGAAACTATGGACGAATTCCAGCTCCAGTGTTGGAAAGGCACATGAAGAAATACAACAACTGAATGCAAAGACAGTGAGGACCAAGCTAATAGGGCTGACCTACCAGTCATCCCACAGCAACTGGCCCACAGCGGTCATGACAGAGCAAGCTCTGCTGTTCCAGGCATGATCTCAAATAAGAAGAGGCCCAGCCAAAATATCAGACCAAACGAGCTGGATCCAGTCAGCCCAAAGCAAGAAAGATAAATCACTGTCACTTCCATTGCAAAGATGGTTTGTTACAAAGCAATAAATATAACAGTCTGCTAAAGTGGGGTCTGGAATTAGCAAAAACACGAAATGTGAAGCCCCCAGTCAACACAATCTCAGGATGCACATAACAAGAACTCAAAAGATTTTGTTCAGTGTCTCAAAGGTACTCTCAGAAAGTCTACAAAAATATAACAGTGATGATTATTT